CACTAGCCCGCAAGGGGTCGAGCGATGAAGCTCAGACAACCATGATTACGAGCCCACACTCAACACACGACTATTAGCGCTTTCATGATCACTTCATGATAGTAAAAATGCTCGGGGGTTACTATCAAGGTTATGATACCATGGGTATCTCAAGACAAAGATTAGTTAGTCGCTTAGGTGGCCTACGGTACACCAGCTAGTATATGCATAATGATTGAGGCCTAGCTAAGCTACACGGACCTAGGCCAAACGCTAAGGCAGGGGTTGGCCACGACTTCTTCCCACAGCCTTCACCGCGCGTCGTGCAACTCCTCATGACCTCTCCTCCGTCCTGACCTCTGGGAGGGGCGGGGAGAGATCGAGCCCTGCCAAGCGTAACTGCTTTGACAAAGAGCAGGCACACTACACTGACCCCGCAAGGAACGAGGGGACAACAGTCCTCTCATCCTGGTCAGACGCCATCCCATGTGCCACGCAGCGCAGACAAGACAACAACATCAAGCAGTGGCCGCCAGTACGGCGGCCCACCGTCCAAATACGACCCGACAAGATAGATGTACGACCCCACCTACAACGGGATGGGGCCCACGATGGCAGCCTTTACTTTTGAGGCCAACTAAGCCAACAAGGGCCACGACCCAGGAACACGGGATCCTGGCCGCCGGCACAACAAGTAGCAAGATGATCAACAGCTTGGGGGTGGCTACCAACTCTTGTACGACGCCCCCGGGAGATCAGGAGGCGATGACGAAGGCCACGGCAAGACCATGTCACGCAGGACGGCTGGTGAAACACCACCATGCCCACAATGCCGCCACAACTGGCACTGTAGCACCATGCCACACCATGCCACAACGTGGGCACAGGACCATGACGACAACCACTCCTGGACGTGTGCCACAAGACGACGTTACTTGCAAGCCAAGTTAGCTAGGTTCATTCGGGTAGTCCGTCTCCTAGCTCTAGCTCTCCTACCTCTTCCACCATTATTGCACCTCCCATTGTAAGAACTTCAGGGCATTCAAGCGAGGTACATGCACTCGATCATCTCTAAGATTGTACGTAGGGCTCCGGCCTGAACCAGTATAATTCCTCGTGTCTTTTGGATGCTACCATCGTCTTCCTGGAGCAGCGCGACATTCGTATAAATTCACTAGTCGGTCTACAAAACACCGACAAGTCTATTGAGTATTGATTTTGGAAGCAAGTAAATAGACATGTGATAAATAAGAGCATTGTTAAGGCTAGATCTGATTAGAGTAGTTCTTTCAGCAATGGACATAGTTCCACCTTGTCAAACATCCAATTTCTTAGCACTTTTGTCCACTAAGGGTAACCAGTCAATAACATGGAGCCTACTGGGACTCACTGGCACTCTCAGAGACTTAATGGGAAAAGTTCCCACCTGACAATTAAAGAGTTCAGCATATGTGCTAGCCCAGTCATCTTCATCATTTATAGTGAGGATTTCACTTCTGAGAAAATTTATCTTTAGTCCAGCCATAAGCCAGTGTGAGTGTGATGGTCCTAAGAACTTGTTAGTGGGTTTGTTAAGTTGATATGGTTAGCTATGGAACTTGCGGTGAAGTAGCATTTTAGGTTAAATTTGTTGCTTTGAATTTTTATGACCAATTCACCTCCTTTTGGTCTATTCGATCTGTTTATGTGCTTAGTGGCTAGCCTACATATTTGAGAGGAAAAAAAACTCATTATCTGTAAAATCATATTGCATAAGAATACAACCTTGCACGAGGAGTACGTACGTAGAATTTTACAATTTGACAACACATAGAGAAACTAAATGCCATAAGACTGTCTCCAACAAGGGAGACCTAAACCCGACCCTCATTCCCGATTTTGGGTTATGCACAGGAAAAGGTCACGCACCCATAACTCAGTCCTCTCCAACAGCGACGCAAAAGCAGAGCCTTCCCGAAGCGTCCGCGTTGTTGACGAGGACGCCCATGTCGCGGCCCCGGTGACGGCGAGGTCGAACGCCACACTCCGCACCTTGCACGACGGCGACGGCACGGCGGCCAGGATCTTCTTCGCCACCCGCGCCAGCTTGTAGTGCTCGGCGTTGGCCTGCCGAGGGTGTTGCAGAGGGGGAGAAAGCGGAGCAGAGGAGGGCAGAAGGGAAGAGGCAGACCGGAGGGGAAGGGATGGAGCAGGGCAGAGCACGGCGACGGCGGCAGCCTCGACGCTCGGCTCCGGCGGTGCTTCGACGCAGTGGAGGTGCTCCGGCTGCACCGGTGCCGGATCCGCCGCTAGCCACCGAGATCCGCAGGAGGAAGAGGAAGAGAGGGCGTTGCTCCTGCAGGGTCACCGGATCCTCCCTGCACCGCCGGGATCCGGCTCGCCGCCGCCTAGAGGACCTCGGCCAGGCCGGATCTGAGGGAGAAGAGTGTTGCCACCGGATCTGAGGGACGAGCACCGCCGTTGCCGTGCTTCGGGCGGATCCGATGCGTTGCTGTCGTCGTGAGGCCGCCCCTGCACCTGCGCCCGTCAAGGATGCGCCGCCGCCGCTGGGAGCGTCCCCGCGCGTGGTCGTTGCAGGATCCACCGCCGGGAGTGTGCGCGCGAGCTTGAGCTCGAGTTCCCCGACGGCGGCAGCGGCCCAAGGCTACGCCGGCTCAGCTTGTGCTGCGCGGCGAGCGGGGGCCGAGGTGGTGCTCCCAGGTGGCGGTCGTGTGTGCCGAGAGGGAAGGGAAGCTCGGTCATTCCTTGCTTCCACGGGCGAGCTCCACCATCGGAGATTTGCCTAGCGAGGAGAGAGGCAACATTTTTTTGCGTTTCCTTTCGCCCGGTAGCCAAAATGCGCCGTGTGTTTGCGTCATCCGTTGGAGCCGGTATTCGATAGGCAAAGCACTGTGCGAGACTTATTATTGGGTTTGGGTAGCTTTGTTGGAGTCAGTCTAAGCATATGTTATTCTGTATGTGCTAAGATGACGACGACCTTTTGTTCAGTCTAACACGCAGGGTACATGGACAGACTGAAAATTTATACTGCCGCAATCCACCACAGCAGAGGAAAGAATTCCGTAAACATATGCACATCCCTTTTTTTCTATTTATAGAGAAAATGTACCAAAAATGTGAATAAGGACATCAGGACTCTGATCTGAATGAAATAGAGTTTCCAGATTTCCTCGAGGAACAATTTCATGCTCCAATAGGGCATTATTACTGTTACTAGAAAAAATGTCCGTGGGTTGTTACGGATGACCATATGTTAAGAAAATATATGTCAAGCCACACCTTGTTTCAACTAAGAAAACATAAGCGTGCGTTGCTACGAGAGAAAAAAAAACTATCAAACGTTTGATATATTCACTTCACTTCAGCTTGCTACACAGCTGCAACGGCCACGACAGTTTAATTTGTACATGTGCTACTTTTGATATTGTGGGTGGTTATTACAGCAATTACAAACGAACAGGACAAGGCCTCGTAGCCTAGTGTCTATAAGAGCCTCAGTAGCACCTATGGTTCTGGGTTTGACTCCTCGTGCTCCAGGATTTAACGGCATTATGCTTTTCGTGGTAGGCAACGTTCCCGTCGACAGCGAGGCGCTGGTGACTTCGTCAATCTCGTTTCGAGGATTTGTCAGCCCATTCTTCGAAGATACTCATAGGGATAGGGTTTGCGTACGTGCGTTCATTCGGCTAAGTGAGCATGTGTTATGAGGGTTTATGTTGTACTTTGTAATCTTTAAACAAATCACAAACGAACGGGCTCATTAATGGAAATAAGGATGACAATAGTTAGATAAAGTTCTATGGCATATTTTGAGGATCAATAAAAATATATAATTTTAATATTTTATTAAGGTGGGCAAGGGTTAGTGGCTACGGTGTCTCGATTTTTACATGTCAGCCTTATCGAGAGTTGCCCTGTTATATAAGGACAACTTAGAGATTTGCACCGACATCTATGGAAAGCTTGAAGAAACATTTATTTTTACTGGTTTGGGTGAGAAAGTGTTCAAGATTTAAGTTTATACGGTTTGATTAGTTTTTTTTAGAGCTCATCAGCTAATTCATGTTATAATAATAATAATTTATTTCTTATTAAACAACTTAATAAAAATAGAAATATTTATTTATTTTAAGTAAGGGTCAACGTTTTAAAAGATTTGTAATACTTTATTATTATTTATCTTATTTTTACAATATAAAAGCAAGATTAATTCATTAGAAAATAAAAAATAAAAAACAAATAAAAGGAAGGAAAGTCACGGACATCATCCAGGAGCTGGTGCGGCACCTTCCTAGCCAAGACCCGGACGCACGAAACATCTACGTGCCAAAAAAGGAGAGAGAAAAAAAAGACAAAGCAGTCCAAGAAGAAATAGAGATGGAAACAGAAATAAAACCTGGCTGAATGCGGATAAAGTACCGGAGATTAGGTTGGACGAAAAATTATAGGTGGTAGAAATTTTACCTCTTTACTATTAGATATAGATATAGATAGGCACATAGGAGCCTCCTTAAATTAAGTGACATAATAAAAGCCTTTATTAAATAAATATGCATTAGAATAAAAAATGGTCGCGACATATACTGAAGACACTTGGGACTTGGGAGCACAGAACCACTGGAGTAGGCACCAGGTTTTGCACAGATCCATACTCATGTCCAGTTTCCAGCCGAGGAACCTTAGGTAGTTATTCCATAGTGCAGTGTGATTGTAGATCTATTCCACTCCGTACATGGATAGCTGATCACCAGTCCAGCATGACATTTGTTAGTGTGTCTTCAATGACCGATCAGCCTTGCGCATTCGCCGCTGCGGGTTCGATCTCTTGAAGCACGGACAGCAGCGCTGGGTCCTGAAAATCTTTGGCCAGCAAGCTGGCTCCTGCGTCTTTCAGCACCTTCCCAGGGTTCCTGGTCGTCAGGCCAACCACAGGCACTCCAGCAGCCACACCGGCTCGGACCCCCGATGCAGAGTCCTTGGCAGAACGAGATGCACATGCACGAACGCAGCATTACGGTTGGTTACTGACTGTTTCGACTAGTGATGATGAAAAAACAAAGCTTCAGAGAATCACGGCGAGACAGCATTATCCATACTTCAAATATGAAGGTGTGTTCAGGCGATGCGTCGATGAGCTGGAGGGCCTTGAGGTACGGGTCAGGGAACGGCTTGGCCCGGTCGCACTCGGGCCCGATGACGAGCACCGGGAAGAAGTCGGTGAGCCCCAGCAGCGACAGCATCAGCTCGGCGTTCGCCCTCGGAGCGTTGGTCACTGCCGCGCGCTTCAGGTTGCGGCCCTCGATCCATCCGCACAGCTCGTGCAGTCCATCCAGGGCCTTCAGCTGTCCTGGTGCCAACCTGTGTGTGTAAGCTTTCAGCTTCAGGTTAGTGTTCAGCAAGCATCGAGTGGCACAGGATGGCAGTTTATGTTTGCGTTGACACGATCATGTAAGGAAAACATCAACATTAATGCCTTTTAGTACAAAAAATTTGACAACTTTGGGATTGTCAGACTGTAGTATCATGCAGTACTTTCTACTATGGGTTCAGATTTACAAACCCAGATTTCCTCTGGGACAACTAGACCTGAAGAGTGAACCAGCAGGTAAAATTCTAAACGCAACTGAACCTGCAAATAATTGGCTGGATACATCGGTTGCTTCACTCAACCGCCGGACTTCTAATTCTATATGGCCAAATTGAAATCAAGTGCCGATATATATATGCTGTAGTTTCAAAAAAAAAAGCCCTAAACTGTCGTACAAAGTAGCACAGGGTAAATAAGATGAGTGGCCTACTTTCTGAACAAAGCTTCTTTGTCATCCATGAACTGCATCGCCTTCTGGTGATCCATGTCCGGGAACAGCGCCCTAGCGAGGTCGTCGTTGTGTCCCCCACTAATGGTGGCACTGTAGAACTCCTCGGTGATGGGAACACCGTCGTTGAAGCCTACCTGTTGAAGCACGGATAGCATAGCAGTTGAGAAGTGACAGACAGAAGCACAGAGCCGTTGCAGAGAAAGAATTTACTCTACAAACCTGCTGCAGGAGGTCTCGGAAGGCGCAGAAGTGGATGGGGTCGGAGTCGCAGAGCGTGCCGTCGATGTCGAACAGGATGGCTTCCAGCGGCGCCAGCTTCGTCAGGGCGCTGCCGCTTCAGAGTTCACAAGACATAGAGAAATAGGTGAGCAGTGTACGGTGTTTCAGTGGCGAACAAGAGAGGTCACCAGGAGAGGAGAGGCCTGGAGACGAACAGAGACAGGTCTCAGTGGCGCACCTGTTGGTCGCCATGTCCGCCGGAGTAGCCGCGCTCACCGTCCAAGAAATGCAGCGGCGCTTCTTCCTCGCCCCTCTTCTGCTGAAACCACAGCTGTTGCTGGTGCTGATACCGATGCTTCTTGGAGAGGTCGCTGGAGATGATATAGTGGAGAGGCGGCGGCGAGGGAGGAAGGCCGACAGCATGCCAGGCCCAAATTGGATTCGTCCGCCCAGCGGCATAGAGACTGACGAGTCGCTTTCTCCCGCTCTCCTTTCTGTTCAATTCAACGATGGGCGCCTGTGGCTCGCCGCTCGCCACGACCGCTCCTCTGCTCCCGGTCTCTGGCTGCCTGTAGCAAGTGGCAGCCGGATGATCGCTCACTCTGCTGCTGTGCTGTGCTGTGTTGTGCTGCCTGCCAACGTACTGAATTGGGAACCTCATTCCAAAGATGACGCCAGGGTATATGCTCTCTTGACAGTCAAAAGATCATGCTTCCAAGCAATTGCGTGCCTAGCAGTCACGTTTTCTGTGGACTCAACTTTCTCACCATCTGGTGCTTTTCTAGAGAGGCCACTTGACCCAAGACCACAAATAAACGTTTTGTCATCAAAGAGTCCTTAAGGTTAAATTAAACATGATGAATCCACGGCTTTATGCCAACTAGTTGACTAATTAGACCACAGTCGCCTTAGCTAATTTTTAGTTCCTAACTAACGCAAGGTAATAAATAACGGATAGCTGGTTTGTTGCGGATCCATGTCTACGTAGCAGATCACGGATAGCGGGCGCTAAGTTCTAATAGCGACATCTAATAATCACACATAAATATATGTATGTATATCATGAGTATTGACTTTCTCACATCGTTGTAGCAACTAGAAAACAAAATATTGATACAAGAATAAATGCTTAACTAGATATTTAGTTGCACTCGAATAGTTGATCAGCCTGTCGCTTGTTGGTTTCAGCCAGGGCTTATCAGCCAGGCAACAGTATTTTTCTCTCACAACAAACCAGCACCAGCCGGGCTTATCAGCACAGAAACCAACCAGCGAACAGACTCGATGTCTCAGTCCTAACATAACTTACATTAAGAAACAAACATGATGTACTACGTTGATTTATTGGCTCATCACGAATTAAGTTTGATAATGATACATACCAGATGTCTGGATCGACGGACGCCTCGACCGCTCATTCCCACAGTGCTCGCGCCCCTCCCCATTCTTGTCCTTTCACATCCCGCGTCCACACCCGACGATGCGATCATCGTTGCTTCCTGGCCGGTGAAGGCTCCTCCCCCCACCCCCGGCGTCCTCCTCCCCCAACTCGCCGGCTTCTTCCCCCCACCCCGACGTCCTCCTCCCCACCCGGCGGCCTTCTCCCGGGGACCCCTAGGTTAACAAGCAGGGGTGGCACACCACACCCGCCGACACCCCCCCCCTCCCAAAGAAAATAATTTCTTCCCCCACTTCCTTCACTAAATTGGGCCCAATTCAACTATATTCTTAGGCCAAACAGTAGACCACACAAGAGCCATGCACTAAAAGACAAAATTGCTGACATCAGCACATATCCCATGCTTTTTGAGATTAAAAAAAGTCATATCTCATAAACCAAGTATCCTAATTAAAATCCGATTGCGTGTTCCTTGTAATAAACTCTTGAAAACAAGATTCCACATGGATATATTTCGATAAAACTTTTAATGAACATTTATCTCATGATGAACCTGTATTTAAAGATAATCACCGAACATCATATTAACACTACACGAACATCGTAGAAAAATAGCATAGAACATCATATGTATACTACGCGAACATTATATATATATATATATATATATATATATATCATGAAATATAAAAAATAAAAATAAAATTAATGAAGTAATTAATTATAGTCAAATAAAAAGAAGAAAAAATACTACCGAACATCATAAATACATCGTAGAACATCAAACTAACACTACACGAACATCGCTAAATATAGCATAGAACATCATATGTATACTACGTGAACATCACAAAATTTCATGAAAATGTAAAATAAAAATAATGAAATTAGTGAAGTAATTAATTAGAGTGAAATAAAAAGAAGAAAAAAATGCTACCGAACATCACAAAATATATCCTAAAACATCAATGTATGTTTACTGAACATCACAAAATACATCGTAGAACATCACATTTCTACTCGCGGACATAAAAAAATACATGATAGAACATTACATGTATACTACACGAACATCACGTGTGTCTATAAATAAAAAGTGAAACATAAACTTATGAATAGAATAAAAGAAAAGAAAAATAAATAAATAAGAGGAAAGGAAAAAAAGAAAATGAAAACATATAATAAAAAAGGAAAATAGAAAAAGGAACAAAAAGACTAATAAAAGACAATAAAAAAGAAAGAAAATGGAAAAAGAAATAGAAGAAAAGAAAGAAAAATAAGAAAGAAAAAAAGAAAAAAGGAAGAAAATTAAAAAGAATAAAATATGACAAGAATAATAGAACAAAACAAGAAATAATAAAGAAAAGAAAAAGGAAAAAGAAATAGTAGAAAGAAAAGAAAAAGAAAAAAAGAAAAAAAAGAAAAAAAAAGAAAACCTCACTACCTGCTCGTGGGCCGCTGGGCCGAAACTAAGCCTGCAGAGCCAGCCGAAACGAAGCCTGCGGAGCCAACTACGTACGACGGTACGAGCACAGGGGAGCAACTACTGTACAAGCACGAAGGGGGTCGGCGCGCGGATTCCATCCGACTGGTCGGCAGCGATGGTTTACGCCATCTCCCCCACCCTCGCGGCCCCTTACCCCACCCCGGCACTCGATGTGGAAGCGGTGGCCGCACCGCGGCAGCGTGCAGGCCGTCGTCATCGACCGTCGCGGCGGCCCTCGTCGCCACCACCGGCGATGGTCAGGCTCTAAAGTAGCCACTGCCGCTAAACCCCGACGGCCGAAATCGACCGGCGCAGTCTTCCCCTCCCTTATGTTCCTTGACCCTCAGCGGCTCCTTCCCCCACCCCAGCGTCCTCCTCCCCTACCCTTGCGGCGCCCCTCCCTTCACACCCGCGTCCTCCCCCACTGGGAGCCAGCAATGCTCGCAGATCCGGCGGCCATGGCACTCCCCGCGCCAGTGTCTCTCTCTCCCCTTATGTTGCAGTTGTATGTTTCAATTGTTTTAGGTGTTTCAGAGGTATGTTGCATTTGTTTCATATGGATGTTGCAAAAGTAGATCGAGGGATGTTGCATATGTTGTAATTGTTTCAGAGGCATGTTGCAACAGTATGTTTCAAGTGTTTCAGATGTTTCAGAGGTATATTTCATATGTGTTTTCCGGACGCATGTTACAATTGTGTTTATCTAGATGTTGCATTGTTTGACACATATGTTGCATGTGTTTTATTCTGATGTTGTGTATGGTTGCAATGGTTTTCAAGTGTGTTTTAGGTGTGTTTTTGAAGTGTTTTATAAGCATATTTCAAGTGTTTCAACTGCCTTCAGACGTATGTTGCAACCGTTGTATTTGGATGTTTCAAAAATAAATTAGGTGTTGCATCTCTCCTCCACCCACCTTCTGTTGCATCATCTCTCCTGGAGCCGGCAGGGCATCCATATGAACGAGGGATGGGTGATGGGTGAGATGGGCTTAGGACGAGGGAGTTGTGTGCGTCGAGCGCAAGCGATGGAGCTCCATACGGACGGATGCTGCCTCTGGAGTGCGATGGGCGCTGGGCGGAGGGGGCTGCATACGTCACGGTTTGGGAGCAGGGGCGGAGGTGCGTGGTGACGTGGGCACGGCGGGCGGGCGCTCTCCTGTTGCGCGGGCGTAGCCTACGTGAGGGGGGCGCAGCGGGTGCGTCGAACGGAAGCCTAGTCCGAACGTAGGACTAGGGCCGGACGTCCAGGCGCTAGCTTGCCGAATTAAGTTTGTAACCAATGGTACTCGCTATGGAATAGAGATACGAAAGTGGGCAACAGTAGACTTAGGTTGAGATTCAGAATCAGCTAGGATTTTACTTGCTATAGCGGCCTGCTATGCTAAATAGCGGCCGCTAAGTTCTAGGGTTGTATCTCCAGGTCGCTACATCATAGCGGTAGCGAAAAGGCACTGAGGCACCGCTACCACTATTGTGGCCACTGTAGCGACAGCTACAAATGGTATTCAGTACCTTGCCCTAACGATCAAGGACTAGTGATTAATACATTAATAATGCGTAAATAGGAGTTAATATGGACTAGTTGTTAGCCCATGGAGATCATTTTTTTCATGCAAGATTTTAGACCTTTATTTTGGAATTTCAGAGAGAAGGAAAAAAGAAGAACAGGAAACGGCTCAATTCGGCAATTTCGGTAGATTGGCGAGAAAATTTGGGACGCGACAGGCGCCCAAAAAACGAATCCCAGATTGGTTCGGCTAGGCTCAACCCAAACAACTGGAGTAGATGGTACGACAAGAAAAGGCCCAACCAGTGCCCCACACAGCCCACGAAGCGAGCAACCCCATCCGCAAGAAAATCTCGCGATTTCCCCTCGCACTCTCTCGCACGCGCCGGCATGGCGACGCTCGCGCGGTGGCATCCACCACTACCACCAGCCCCACTGGCCGCTGGGGCAGCCGCTTCTATTGCCCGCCCCCTCGCTCGACGGCGGATCCCGCGCCGAGCCGCGACCGTGGTCTCCCCGCGCGCGTTCGGCGGCGCGGACTTCGATGGCTTCGTGCGGCGCGCCAACGCTGGGGCCGAGCGGCTCGCCTTCGAGGCACGGCAGGCCGCGCAGCGGCTGGACGGCAGGTTCTCGATCTCCCGGAGGCTCGCGGAGGCCTCCCGTGCCGCCCGCGCCCGCGCCGTTGAGATCGACGCCGAGCTCGGCATCGGGCGGCGGTGGCGCTCCTTCTCCGTCGACTTCTCCCGCAACTGGCCCAGGGTTCGGATTCTATACGCCCCCTCGCCATTTCAAGCTGTTTAGTACTTGTTATCGCTCTAATCTATGCTTAATTTGATTTCTCATGTACAGTATCGGAGGGGGATCAATGACTTCATGGAAACTCCCATCGGGAGAGCATTAGCTGTAAGTTGATTGATAGCTCAAATTCGCTCGGATTAGCTTGCTAACGTAGCTCAAATTGGGTGCTTATAATTGATCGTACGACGTAGATATCATAACTTGGATTTTGTGGCATTTTGGCGATGTGCTAT